AAAACTCAAACTTGATCTTTGGTTTTCCATTATAAAGATACACAGCAAATTTTGAATCAATTCTCCAAACAATAAAAAAAAAAACAAGAGGCCCATGGGCCACATCGCTCACCTGAGCACATTGGCTAGGCAAAAGCACAAATCAGTTCAGTATTGAAAAGATTACCTGGGGGGGGGAGGGGGGGGCTTGAATTTTAAACTACCTGATGATGCTTCCATGTCAATATAACAAATGGCTTTATTGTACTTGAAAAGATTTTCAAAAAAAATTTTCCCATATATTCCTTTGTAAAAATTTGATCCTCCATTGTGGCTCCTCCCTATCCCAGGGGTCATCATTTGAACTTGAATCTACACTACCTGAGGATGCTTCCATATCAAAATGACTAATCATGGTTTGCAGTTCTTCAGAAGAAGAAATTTTCCTATATATTTATATGTAAAACTTTGATCCTCCATTGTGGCCACGCCCTACCCCCAGGGGTCATGGTTTGAACAAACTTGAATCTATACTACTTGAGGATATGTCCAATCATGGCTTTGCTGTTCTTGAGAAGATGATTTTTAAAGATTTTTTCCTTTGTGTTCCTATGTAAAACTTTGATCACCTATTGTGCCACTACCCTACCCCTGGGGTCATGATTTGAACAAATATAAATACAATTCATATTGTAACATAACCCACATGAAATGAAATGATTCACATATTTAAGTCAATATGTGACTTAGAAAAATCTTTACTCACAAGGCATCTTGGACAATATTTGTCTGCAAATGCACAAAGATGGTTGCAGCAGTGTGAAAGCATGTTATAATCTGCAACAATAACATCCAGAGGACACTTTATCATACATTCTTCTTGGTTGAGGGCATCAAAAGAAATTACACCATGTCTGAAATGAAAGAGAAGTATTGACAAACACAGTAAATTTTTCTTAGCGTTTTCATTAAACATAATAAAGATTAGAAATAATTATAACCTTTGACATTGTTTTATATCGGCAACAGCTATTTCCACCAATTTCAGTATTTCTACTTTCTCTGATGCTCCAACAAAATGTACATGTCTTTCTTTGTGCCGTTCATCAACTGGAATTCCTGTAAATATAAATCCAAAGAACCTAGGGTATGGATTTTTACTTCTATCCTCTTTTTCTTTATTTAAATCTTGCAGAGATGTATGAATTCCCTGACTATAGATTGCCAATTTCTTATACCTCTAAATAAACCAAAATATGAATGAAATGTAGACAAGGTTTATCAAGCAAAGACAGTGTAATATTTATGATATTCCATGGATTATATAGTTTCAAATTCTGTTTCCCTATTATAATATCCTGACTTTTACAACCAAATCACTGTACAGTAAAACACGCTTATAACGAAGTGCCAGGGGACAGACAATTCGTTACAAACGTCCCAGTAATTATATAGTTAAGTTCATAATACTATTCAAAACCAAGGGGAATGAAAATCACTTCACAAAAAGCATAAATTCACTTTAAGCATGTTCGCTTTAAGCATGTTTTACTCTGCAAGAAATTAAATAAATAACCAGTACCTGATAGTTGCATCTGTATACAATGTAATGCCAGCCATTTCTTTGATCTATGAGTTGACGTGTCATCCAAAAAAAGGTTTACGGGAACAGTCAAAATTGGCATATTCATACTTGAGTACAGATTAAAGTGCTGAAAAATATTATTTTGCTTGTTGCATAATAATCCCAAACTCAATCACAGGTTCAACTAACAACATGGAGAAATCTTGTATTAAGCTGTTCAAACTTTCATAGAAACCTTTAATATAGCATTTATAAAATAAAATATATTCAAACTTAAAATTTATTTATGACATGAATGCGAAAGTATATTTAAATTATATGCTTCTTACATTCTGGTTGATAGGTCCAGAAACCACCTCTGAACTTTCTTTTGTGTAGTACGATTCATTTTCATAAGTTTTTCTGTGTTTTAAGCTTTGTGACTTTTTACAATGCTTTCTATCACTTGATATAAGAAATGCTCTATTGAGAAAAAAAAATAATAGTCAGAATATTTATCTAAATTTAGGTACTTTTAATTTAATCTACTGTACAATAAAGCAATACTTCATTGGCTGAAAAATACATGTATCATCTAAATTGAATTACATAGCTTGCCTACATCTCAGTACAAAGTTAATGCAGAACTTATTACTCAGGTTCACGTCCCATTCAAAATTTTTACAATGTAACATCATTTTATTGAATTTTTTTTTATTATGAATTTTATAGTACAAAAATAAATTTTAAGGAATGAATTCTAGTTTTTTACTTTTGTTATACAAGCAAAGCATATTTAAAACAGTTTGTGCTTTTTTTAAAATTACTTTAGTAAAAATTCAATTAACATTAAATAGGACTTACTTTTCACTTTGGCAGCATGGAGGTTTAAGTAGCATGGGCTCTACACTTGAAATAACAGCTTCTTTTACATTTTCCTGATAATTAGAACATGGACAATATATAAAATAGAATGTAAATGTGAATGTATTTGCGCAAAGAATGTCAAAGTTTTCATTTTCGTTAAGTATGATGTGTTAATTTTCACAGTCTTTTCGCTTTGATTTTATTTGAAGTTTAGTATGAGACTGTTTACCTTGACATTTTCTACAAAGCTTTAAATAATTCCCATCTGCTCAGTTTCATCTGATTCAAATATGCACACCTCATTTTTAAAAAAAGCTGTGTTTTCATCTGCAGCATAACAGAATTCTAAATCACTTATCCACTTCTCTCCGTACGCAGGATTACTTTTTTCTCCTAATGAATCTACTCTGGGATACCTATTATATATACATATTACATTAAGTTGTAGATGTGAAGAATATGTATTGATCAAAATATAGTTCTTGACTTTTGGTCATCACAAGAGTGACAACATGCATGAAGTATATTTAAAATAAATGCAAATCAATCACCTTGTTACAGACTTTGTAATAATACTCATTTCACTACAATGGCTAGTTTACTTATTATATATCAAGAAATTTATTTACATTTATCTGATGATTTTTTTGGAAACATTAGGGTGAGTAACTGCCATCTTTACTATTGCTGATGGTTTAATAGCCCACATTGGAGTACTGTCATCATCATGGCTATATACAAAATATAAAATTATAAGTGATACAAATTCACTGATAAAGAGAGAAATACATGAGATACAGGATAGACAGTGTATTAAAATAGTTATCCTCTATTTTTCTATTTCATCATGCAATACTTCAATAAATTGAATATTTACTTTAATTAGGAACTCATTCCAATCAAAGGAACCAAAGCATTTTCTTTTGATTGAAGAAAATGGAGGAACATCCTCTACTCCACACTGTTTTAAGATGAAAACAACAAAAAAAAAAAATAATAAAAAGTGTAAGAATTTGTACAGATATGTGCCAAAAGTGAAGATAATTTTTTTTCCTTATATATTTCATTGAAAACAATATTTTGTTAAATCACTGGAATGAGAACATTTCTTGACAGATTTTTTACCACAAATTTCTTGATAATCCAAGAAATTGTTATATTTGATAAAAACATTAGTTTTTATCTGATCAGCATCAATACTTAAAAAATATTGTAATTTAAGCATGTTAAGTGTGACATGAAAATTTAGTTCATATATGCACAATGAGTTATAAAGTCAACATTGATCTTGAATTTTAGAACTGATGTAAGCATGGTAAGTGATGAACTATCTTTTTCTAAAAAACTAAATATGTAATGATCTTTTAGAAAAAGATAACTACACATTTTATGATTTAAGTACTGAAATAAATAATGAAATTAGACAAAAATTGACCATTTGTCAGTGATTAACTATATGTGGTTTTCAATAAAATATGTAGAGGACAAATAAAATTACCTTAATTGGCACAGATCTGTAGATCAATATGAAGCATGCATTATTTTTTGGACAAATATATATGCATTTTGAGTTTGAAAATTTTATGCTAAGACTTAAAATGTAATATAATGTTTAAAAATATATATCAAGTAGGTCTAATTAAGAAAATCTGACAGAACAAGTCATTCATTGTAGAAGATGAGATATTCTGGAGAGAGAGAGAGAGAAAGAGAGAGAGAGAGAGAGAGAGAGAGAGAGAGAGAGAGAGAGAGAGATGAAATTTCATTTGTTGAAAGTTCTGTAGAACACTATATATATATATATATATATATATATATATATATATATATATATATATATATATATATATTGACTAGGCCTAGACATGGTTTTACTTACCACTGGATGTGTTGTAGAATTCATGAGAACATAAAGATAAAAATCTGCTTTGGATAAAAACGGAAACCATTTTGACTTTTGTTCGATCAAAATTAGTTTTTTCCTCAACGGACACAGATTGATTACATTTCGATGGCTGGTCATCTCGAAACGTCACATGTTCAGTATAATTTGTCAGCTCATCGAAAACGATGTCTTCTTGAGAATCTTCCGTGAATAGTGGAATATTTTCACATGAATCGCTTTTTGCATCGGAATAAAAATGTAAGATATTCTGATGAGATACAGACTGAAGATGTCTAAGATAATTTCCACGGTGACCACTCGAGTAATCACATAAACTGCACAGGTACTTTGCGTTTGTTAAATTCGCCGCCATCTCAAATAGCATAAACAAAACTCCTCGGATATCTCGCAAACAAGTGTTGGATTTATCCGATGAGTTCTGATAGATCTAAAATGTAAACAATGAGAAGCGAAAGGTAACACTTTGTAACATCCGGCCAAAAAGTTACAAACTTGGAGTTTTATTGCTTAGCTTTTCTTTTTTTATTCGGTGTTTTCATCAATTTGTGTTAATTTCATTTTACAATCGATCGGAATTAGACCAAATAGTTATTTTTTAAAAAGTTTTCTACAACAAAATGCAGTTTACAAAATTCCCTTCGGTTCTTTGATGACGCAGACGGTGTCGTATGGTATCGTTGCAGGATGGAGGTAGGTTAAAGTTCTATACTCTATCCCCCCTTTTTATTGATTTAAATTCACAATAATTGAAAAAGATACATTTATGATAGATAAATTGATGGGAAGACTGTCTTTTAAACGCAAAACAAAAAAAAAAAAACTTTTTAGAGAAGCAAGATTTAAAGTATATTAAAAAGTAATAAGAAATTCAATGCCCTGGCCTCGGGGCCATAAAACTTAGACTAGCTCACTTTTGATCTCAGTCTCACGTTTACCAAAGAAATAAATAGTAGAAAAGTGAGACTGAGATCAAATGTGAGTTCGTCTAAGTTTTATGGCCCCGAAGCCTGAAAATTCTCTTGAAAGAAATTGAAACAATTTTTTATTTTTAAATGAGTTTGCATGGCCACCAATTTTTATTTTAAAATAAATATTTGTGGAAAGACAACACGCTTACATTGACAGTATAAACATATATCAAGTCATGTAATAATTACATCTATCTTTTTATTTTTTTTTTAAGATTAAATTTAAAATCAATGAATAAGATGATACATACAAGAAGTTAAATATGAAAACTTTTAAAAACTTAAATGCACAGAAATATTGTTCTTCAGTAGTTTAGGGATGTAAAAAAAACAAAAAAAATTAAATAAATAAAATGATCAGAATCGTTGCTTTTTGTATACCCCCCCCCCCTTCATCTCTCGCTCTCTATGTTTTCCATATTAAACTTACATTTACAATTCAATTTTAGGAACTCAGTCAAGACTCGCAGATAACACAACTATCCGAAAGTCAGAATCTTTTTCAAGACTATGGTGCACAGAACGATGATTTAGGGAGAGGACAACAGAATGACTTAAAAGAAATATGCAAGTACATTTTTATAGCATTGTTACAAATTATAAACTAAAAAAAGTTGTGTCAATATACATAATATATTAGATATATTTTTATTCTTTGTACGACAGTCACATTTATATATTCATCATAATTTTCAAACATTAAATTACAGTGAAGGAATTAAAGTCTCTACGATCAGAAGTTGCAGAACTTAAAGAGATGTTATCGAGTAATGTCCAACAGAGACCATTCCATATGGCATCATGTTCATTCAAAGTAATAATACCCCCCTCCCTCCCCCCCCCCCCCCACACACACACACAAAGTTGGGTTTAATACATTCAGGTGTTAATGCCCATAACAGTTATTTAATTAAATTATTATGGATAATTCATAAATTCATTGATATGAATTTAATAGAGAAATTCTAAATATTTTGTGAACATTCTCATCGAATATCTTATCTAAAAATTCTCTGTTTACAGGAGAAGCTGCATCTATTTCTGAGACATTTGTTTACCAAAAACATGTGGCTTGATCTCCAGAATGAAGAATACCAGGTGAGAGAAGCTGTCTAAAGAATTGCATTACAAGAAAATTGAAAGACGATTGTTTAGTACATAAACTAGTAATAATAATATTAATTATAATAATTTTTTTTCCATTCTATATAAGTCTGAAGTGAAGAAATGCTTACAGAGGGATGGCAGATCCTCGGATATTGATGCATTGAAAAAAGTCAACTCGTTTTCTATGCTGAAATTCACAGAATTCAGAAACCAATTCAGAAGGAATGTAAGTTTTCTATAAATGAAAACTTTATTCCAATGCAATTAGACAAGGGTACATTTTTGTTGTTCTGCATTCCTTACATGCTCCTTATCAGTAAGGAATTGTGAAGCTCTTGGAAAATTAGATATTTAATTATCAGATCGATGACAAAATGGAACTTAATTTTGATCGGTAGATATTGTTGACATACATCAACTATATTTTCACAAATACAACATTCAGTGTTCTCTTTAGAAGATGAAGTTTTCAGTTCAGTTTTCTTAAAGAAAAAAATGAGATATCATTCCTTCATTATAAAAGTATTAGAATTCAAACAAAGGGTTAAAAATTGATTCTAACTGGCATAACTTTAACAATGGGGGTTATCGTGCGTAATAATTAACCTCAAAATTTTTATTTCATTCATACTCTCATATGTATAATACATGTAATGTATAATGATTACAGCTTGTACAGAAGGGAAAAGTGGACCTCAGAAGTTTGAAATTGGCAGAGTTCTGTAGGGTAGTCTACAGTCCATTCTGCAGATCAGGAGAGGATATTTGCTCCACTGAGAGACGCCGAAATGCCTCACTGTTTGTAAGTACATGTATAAAGATAAGTACTGGTATCCTTTACAAAATTTAAATTCTTGTTACTCAAAATTTGTACGTCATGATTGTCATGTAAAGATTTTGAAAAACAAGAATTATTCATCACAGCATCAAAACTCGCATGATGCAGCATTTTTTCCATCTTAAATATTTGGTAGATTTATTGGTATGCATGAAGATTGTTTTATAATACACAAGTTATCTACACAATATAGGCCATTGGTGATTTCCGTTTTCATATCAACACTTTCAGAGAACTTTCTTGTATAGACAAAAATATTTGTCTATACAAACCAGAATCAGACCCAGAACCAGACCCAGCAAGAAAGCCATTTCTGGAATGATTTCAAAACATACATTCAAGAGCACCGCGGCCAAACTGAGGATAAATGGTTAAAGATGGAGGAGCTTGATGGCAGAAGACGAAACAAGTTCCTCAACAGTCAAAGTTTGGTTTTTCCTGATACAAATAGATATTTATGAGTTACTCTGGAATGTCACAATACAATTCATTACTTCATATTATACCGGTATTTTTAAAAAATAAAGCAAGATTTTATTAAATTGCATAATTACACAATGCCAATTTCAAAATATATAAATACATTTTTATTGATTTTAGATGCTGCCAACTCTACACTCATTAGTTAATGATAGATGAAAAAATGTAGCAAAAATGTAGAATAATAAATAAGACTTGATAACAATGTTGTGTTCTGTTATCATTTAAATCATTTAAAAGATATTGTTGAAATACACGTCAAACTTGGTGCCCTGCACATTATAAGCAAAAGATGAAATATTTTGATGGGTAAAAAAATACATTTCCCAGGAAAGAAGAGGAAATAAATGCAACAATGTATTAAAATCCAGAAACCGTAGTACCTGGTATAACTTATGTTCAACATGTGTATTATGAAACACATGTTCATTCATGGTGATAAAAACATATGTTAAACATACGTTTTACATATGTTTTCAAACATATGTTAGGCATATGTTGTTCGTTTTTCATGTTTAACGTATGTTTCAAAACATATGTAAAACGTATGTTTAACATATGTTTAACATACGTTGCAATTTTACCTGTGTAGGTGCTGGCACGAAAAAGATCCCTCACTGCTCAATGGCCCTGAGTGCCTAGTATAGGTCAAAATTTGTAGCCCTCCACCGGCAAGTGGTGGCGTCTCCATATGAGTGAAAAATTCTCTAGACGGACGTTAAACAATAAACAAACAAATAAAACAACTCAATCAAATATAAATGAAGATTTACCTGAGGAATCATAAAGCCACCCAGAGAATAAAGAAAATGTTTTCCCTGCTCGTCCTTTCAGGAGGGCAATATGGACAGTATCACCAGTAGTAAGGTTGTATATAGCAAACGCTGTGGAATAACTCTTTTCCATTCTTTTCTGTGGTCGGTCATTTAGAAAAAGTTTAGCTAAAAGTGTCTCGTTAGTATCTATTGTCCACGAAAATACATACACACCATCCACAGGAGAGGTAAAAAGACCCGTGCTTTTATTGTAAGCTTTTCCAACATTGGTTATTATATTGTCAAAACGGACAATTCCTGGCTGACTATCTCCCCTTAAAGATGCAAAAAATCCAACTTTCCTTTTCACGCCACTGCATACTGAAAAAAGAGCCTGCTGTTTTTTTATAGATTGTTTGGGTTTAATAAATTAGGAGTGTTTCAGTACATCAGGATGATAAAAAGTACATGTAATCTCTTATCTTATAAATGGAATCTTCTTTTGTTTAGTTATATTTTTTATACACATACGAGGGTTGATCAAAAAGTTTGCAAACTAATTGAATAACTTGTGTAAAAAATAAAGTTAGGTTTTAGTGTTTTTCAAATAGTCCCCTCCTGTTTTAATGCACATATGCCATCGCTTTGTCCGTGCTTGAAACACTTGTTCCAAGTAGTCACGTAACATGTTACAAAGCATACTGTTAACAACAGCCCAAGATTTTCCCGAGTCTTATATTTCTTACCACGCAGGTTAATTTTAAAAACAAGAATTATTCATTTGTCACAAGTTGCCAAATCTCGGCAATAGGACAGTTGGATTAGGATATCTTTTCCCAGTATATAAGCATGGTGTGCATCACAACCCGACTTTTCTGTATCTAACTTAGTTTTAGTATTGGTGCTTTCTCTTTATCATATTTGATGTGTTAAGAGACTAAAGTAACTGTTATATTAAGGGATCAACAGCTATTTTATTGTTAAGATATTCAACTATTTTTTTTTTCAATTGTGACTTGAAGATTTAATCATAAATTGTTCAACTAAAAACACATTACTTTCCCAACTTATTTTCACTGGGCACCCAGAACGAACTTCATTTTAACCATCTCTCTTTCTTCAGTAAAACAATAGGTTGAGATACGTTATAAAAGATGTTTACTGTACATCCAATTAGTAACTGAACTTGTGGCAAGTCCGTTGCCTTCATAAACCTTGTACAAGTTAATATATATTACTGCAAAGGGTTTTCTAAGATTTACGTTAAAGTTTACAACCGATTGCTCGATTACGACTGATTTAACCTTTTTGTCACAAAACATCTACATATCGACGTCATTTTCTGATAGTGACGTTATAATTATGGAACAAAATATTACTTAACACATGCTATTTAATGATCATGTTTATGACTTTATATATGCCAAATTTCATTATTTTTATTGTGTTGATGTAGATAAGGTATAGTTCGAGAACTTTTCCTCACCCCTCGTAATTTTTAAAAAAAAGCGTGTGATATCATTTAAAAACTTTACAGACGACTTCTCATTTCGCTTCATGTTAAAAAAAAAACAAATAAAAACAACATATGAATATATACATAAGGTGAGTTTTAAAGAGAAAACTTGATTTCTTCATAAACCGTCTCTTTTGTCCCTCTATAAAGAGCACCTATCATTTAAAATGAAAATTGATCCACGTAAAATTTAATTTTCTTAAAAAAGAAAACTTTTGCGGCTTTTTCAAATAAATAATACATGTAATTCTAAAAGTTATTGTTCCTTGCTGAGGAACAGACATCCTTAAAAGTTTTTGTTTATCTTGACAAGTAATTAAGAATAAAATATTTTTTTTGTTAAAATTTTTTTCTCACAGCTGTAACTGCAATAATCCGAATCACAACATTCTTCACATCTATTCGTAGCTCTTCTACCAAATATGTTTGTGATTCCATTACCACATTCCTAAAAGAAACAGATACCTTGATTTATTCTAAAAAAGAAATTGCATGGATCAATAAATAATTAAGTACTTCACTCTTGTTAATATTGTCAATTTAAGGATAATAACATTCTTTTTCGATTATTTCATAACAAAATAATACAAGGACTTACCGATCTTCTAGTACATTTCATGTCGTAAACATGGCCTCCATGTTTTTTTCTGACTGACATATGACAAACCTAAGCAAAGTCAAACTAATATATAATTTTTTTTTAATGTACCTTAATATACTTTAAAAAATTAAATCTTCAGAAATAAAATCTGGAAAAACTTGAATAAAAAATTATTGGCTGCTAGAAATATTTCAAAGCAGAAGTTGTTTGTTCACAGTGAAAGATAAGTGAAGTTCTTTATTTTTATGCTGGGGTTTTGGCGAGGGTACATCTTAGCATTGGTCAACCGCCGGGCGCAGTGGTAAGAGCGTCTGTTCTAGAGTCGCAGATTTAGGAGTTGCTTCTTACGTCGCGGGTTCGAATCCCACTGTGGGACGTATAAACCGGAGTCCCGTGTCGCAGTAGGTGCTAGCATGAAAAAAAGACCCCTCACTGTTCAATGGCCCTGAGTGCTGAGGATAGGACAAAATTTGCAGCTCTCCACCGGCAAGTGGTGGCATCTCCATATGAGCGAAAACATCTAAGAATTTACATGGCGCCAGGCGCGGGAAGCTAGATTGTTATCGTAAAGTGTAAAACATGATGAGTCCCCTTAGAAGAGCTTTGACGGCCTTTTACCATCATTTCTTATTTTCAATTAACTGAGTGAACAACCGTTTGCTTTTACCTCAAGAATTTTCTTTTGAGCTCAAATTGTTCACTGAAATCTTTTTCTTTATAAAATTCTTCCTTGTTTCGTTAGAATTTTAGACCCGACACTAAAATGAATAATCCTTACTTAACCAACAATTTTATTAAAAAAGCATCTTCAAAGACAGCTTGTAAGAGATGTACAGCTCCCTTTAAAGATGAAAGAGTGCATATCTCAGTTTGTTCTCCTAGTGTAACCCTGAACTTAACCCTTGTGTCTTACTTAATTCCTCGTTGGCACCTGATCTCAACTCTGAATTTTCCAGGGGTCCGTGTTTTAAGCCATCTTTTACATATTTGTATTGTTTATGGATTTTTTTTGAGATCGACCACTGTTCGTTATATTCAATTTTTACATTTATTCTACATTAAACATGGTCCACAAAAAACATGTTATAGAAATGTACGTTTTCTTCTCTGTGAATGCAATGGTATTGAAAATGCTGAATGAGTCAAGAAAAACCTCAAGATATAAATGACAACAATATTCAATTTTTATCTTATTTTTAAATGTTACTGGAAAGAATTCCAAAATCACAGACCTCGTCATAATTGCAGCGTGTAATTGTGTCACAAAGAGTCGGGTCTGACACGTGCAAACAGTTCAAACAAAGAGGTCCTTCTCTCTTCCTGGGGTTATCTGAATAGGCGACAAACTGAATATCAACTGTGAAATACATTGTATTGTAAATGTGATACTTTTCCAAAAGATATTTTCACAGTGAAAATATTTAAAGAAATATATGTTTTTTTCCCAGTGAATTCTACTGTAAAAAGATAAAAATAGGGACAAAATTCATATTTCTTCAGATTGATATGAAATCTAATTCCCTTGTAGGACAGAAATTACGAGGCAAGCTTTCCTTTCTTTCACTCTGCTCAGAGATTGGGTAAATTCACTTTAATCATGAAAATTCCATCAACAGAATACTAAGTTTAGGAAATATATCTAATCATTTGAAATTGTTACACTTTTGATGTATCTTAACTGTGGAAACATCAAATTGTTAATCCTACTTCCGTATTGCACAATGCATACGCTTGAAATACTGTAGATTCCTTATTTTTCGCGGCGAGTACTTAATACAGCGAAATGGCTCTTTGACGTCAAATCGGGAGAACAATGATTCGCGAGTGGACGGTTGATCAAGAGTTTTTATATGGATTTCAGTATCATAAAAATAAAAGCGAGTAAATTTTTTTCGCGAGTGGTGCTTCTCGCGAAATTACGCGATAATTATTCCTCGCGTACTTTTAAGAATCTACAGTAGCGTTTCCTGTTTACAGTATGGGAAAAGCATTCAATATTATGTAGCACGAAATATTTGCAAGCAAAATAAGATATGTATACAAACCTTCTGATCTACACAGATGTTTATTGCAATCTTCAGATGAGCAGCATTGGTAACAACCATCAGA